AAGCGCTTAAGTTGGTCTACTATGCTAGATTTGGCCCGTCATTCATCTTGCCCGTTATGGGCTGGGCTTGATTCTCCAGGTGCCATTTCAGATGGAGGCCCACCCGCCGCCCTCATACCTTGGCCAGGGATGAAATATTCTTGTGTCCGAGTGTTGCACACATATTGCAAGATCTTCAATCAGGAGGAGCTGTACGAACTTATTGTCAGGTGCAAACATATTCAAAATGGATGTCATTTTGTGCATTATATTTTTGTGTGAATGGTATTATATACTGAATTCGATTCCATTTACCTTTTAGCTAATGATTTAGATAATATTTTCATGCCAAATTAATTAATGATTAACATGCATAAGCGAGTCAGTTGACAAGCTGGTGAGTTAGATGCGATATTTCAGTATAAGTATAAACAAAATTTACCTCAATTGATAATTTTATTTTTGAGACTTTGCGTAGAAATACAGTAAACCCTCCGCATAACACGGTAGTTACTTTCCAAAAAAGTAGCGTGTTATGCGAATCCGTGTTATACGGGACAAAGAACTCCTACAAAAAGAGAGGTTACGTTCCGAGAATTCAGAAAAACATGCTACATATTACGATTTTATGATAAATATTTTTATTTTTATTAATTGTTTTAATAAGTAATTTAAATTACATGAGTTATATGATTTTTTTGTCATAATTAACTGATAAGTGCTATTCAACACGATCATTTCTTTGCGAGAAATCCTCATCCTCTGAGCAGTTTTCTCTACTACCTCCAGATCCGTGTATTATTTTTTGCAATATATATATATATATATATATATATATATATATATATTTGCGATTACTTTCTTTTAGCGAAAACATATTTATATATTTACCACATGCAAAGTTATTTTTATTAAAATTCTATGCTCATTTTATATAAAGGATATTTGTTTAAGACTAATTGACTATGTGTTCGAATAAATCTAGAATATTTTATCTATAGAACGTACGCGCTTGAAAATAAGTGTCAAATTAATTATCGCATTAATTTCATCACGTTTGTTAAGCTATTTTATTGATTTTAGATTGAATAAAGTTAGATTTTCGCAGATTTTACTATTTTTTTATTTTATTAGGGTTTTGCTCAATTCTGAAACCGTGTTAGAGCTAACCTTTTAAAAGTACCGTGTTATAAGAGGAATGGAATCAATTCTTAAATGGTATTGGAGCGAATCTGTGTTATAGAAGTACCGTGTTATGCAGGGGTTACCTGTATTAATTGATATTTGTATTCGAAAGATTTAATTGTGCTCAAAACAAGTCTTAAATTATATATATTTCAGTTAATTTTTAGTAAAGCAAATATTTTTATTATTATATTACAGTTATAATATCAATATATGCTATAATTATAGAATCTTCAATTTGATGTTGATATAATATATAATTATGTCAATGTTTTTAGAAATTTGTTTTAAGTTCATACGTTTCGGGTAACATTCTAACCTTCATTTAGTGGAAAAACTGGCAACTATAATAATTAAACTAAGTAATTTATAACGATTAAAACAAAAATAATAATCAAATCTAAAAACACATACAATTTTGTATCCTTAATTAATGAAAACACTTTTGCACAAAAAAACATGTATAATATTTTGTGAGTTATCGAAACTGTGTACTGACAGTTCTGAGTTTGAGATGGAAATGTCGCATTTTTAAGGGAAAATTATATAAATATACTTGTCATGAAGGTTTCACATGTGTTCGACAATTTGCGAGAATGTTTATAACTATGGAATTTTGTCTTTTTTAAATTTTGACACGCTATTGAGAACCATGTATTTGTTTCGTTGAAAGATGTTTAGTCGTTTCTTTTGTTAAGAACATTGTCGTTACGTAATTAGTTAATCAACCCTGCTTTTTGGTAATTATAATTTCTAAAGTATATTTTTATTACTAATAATTTAATAAACATTATTGTTTACGTTTAAATCTTAGGTGAATTAATTTGTAACATCTAGTTCATATGAGCACTCTTTAATGTAAGATCAACCCATTCAATTCCATCAAATCATTTTTTTATTAAGTAGAATATTTTTTGTATTGTTAAATAATTTAGTAAAGTAAACCAAAATGCGACATAAGTTAGAAAAATAATATATATGCAATTTTGGACTTATTGCGTTATTTATTAAACTGAATTATATAATTTCATCTGCCATACTGTTGACTGTATCTTATATTATTTTGATTTCTGGCACATCTTAGCTGCTTTTCATAATAATGTAGATATTACATTCAGCTAAATTTATATTTGAAGTAAGTTGACATTTTTAGCAGATGACAGTTCAAATGTTTTCAATGTCAAACAATGATAAGTGTTTTTTGTAATTTTTGTTATTTATTTCTACAATATTACTCTAGTTTTATCATTCATAAAATTTTAGAAATTTCCTTTGGCAAACTCTAAAAAGAATAATCAAAATCTAAATAATTATCCTTTCCTACACCATTACAGAAGAATTTTATATATAAGATAAGATATATTCAAGTATTTTTCATTTTTAGATTAACCCGATATTTTACTAAAATGTCAACATACAAATAAACATTATGTATATGTAAGGATGTTTATTGGTTATTAATTTTTTTTCGTGTTCACATTGAATTAATTACGACTGAAAGTTTTTAATATTAGTATACTATATTTGTTAAGGTAACAAATATGATGATAGGAAAAAAATGACGAAATGCTATAATCTCGAACTTCTGCCAGTTCGTCGTTTCAATATACATACTCCTATTTTAGCCTCATTATAGTGCACTGCCGGAGTAAAGCGCGGGATAAATGTCAATCGGTTTCCACTAAATAGAACATTTTAACGTTCTACCACTAGGAAAAACACTTAACCTTTCCGAATAGTCAAGGCGACTCCGGAATAATTTTCATGCACTATTTAATTTTTTGCTTCATGTAATTTTGTTGAGGAAATCGCATGAATCTAATGATACTATAGCATCCTTATGATAGTATGTCGTTAGGAGATCAGGCGGTTGGGAGCCACATAGAGGTAGCTTGTACGCAGCCCATTAATTATAGATTCCTGGTTTAGTGATTTCCAGCTTATTTTGACTATATGAATAAATATAATATTATTAAGTATTTTTTCATGGCAGAATATTGTATTGCATTATTCTGCTGCCAATAAATATGTTTATTTTCAATTAATTTATTTGTTAGTGTTCTTTCAATTCAAGGCTAGGTGACATAAATTTAACTCATTGTTAATACCGTTTAAAATTTGTCTTTATGTTTTATAGGTTAACATAGATGTAGAACTAATTTAATTAACTTTTTAATTTATTTGAACAAATTAGCACTTGTTTGTTTTCATAATCCGGGACAATAGGTCTAAATCCGGGACTGTCCCGGTCAAACCGGAACGTAGATCATCTTATTTATACTTATTTATACTGGATGTAAAACTACATTTTTCGTATTCAATTTTTTGATTATCCATTTTTAACAACGATTTCAGTTATTTTTTCTTTCGCTATATAATTGAAATATTTACATACGCCATGTTTACGCTATTTACGGTATAACTGCTTAAAAATATACATTTTTTTTTAAATTTAGATAGTAGGTACTGTACTTTGCTTGTATAATAATGTTTGTTAATGCATCATAAAATATAATAAACTCCCCAGAGTTAATCAAATCGATTGTATATACATTTTTTAAAACATAATGTTTCAAAATCGATTCGCAAATGTGGCAGTTGTTGAATTTTCATATGTAGGAAAATCGCTAGTATAGAGTAGGTAAAGGTGTGAACCCAGTACACTACCTTGTGGGACTCTTCAACCAATCAAGCTGATGAAGTTTGAGATGGAAATGTCGCATTTTTTAAGGAAAATTATATAAATTTACTTGTCATGAAGGTTTCACATGTGTTCGACAATTTGCGAGAATGTCTATGACTATGGAATTTTGTCATTTTTTTTTCAAATTTACTCCTCAGAGTTATTCAAATCGATTGTATATACATTTTTTAAAACATAATGTTTCAAAATCGATTGATATTTCGGTATTCTGTAGAAAAAAGTGATGTATGTGTTTTTATACTTCTGTATAGATTTTCATTTACTCCTGTAATTATTTTTCATAAATAAATATCATGAATCAACCTATTAAATAAATGTTCAACCATTGAAAAATATTGAGCCGTTTTCATTTTATAGCAAAATTAAATTCCAATTTTTAAATGAGCCACCCCTTATTATTATTTTCTTGTTTTTTTTTTCAGGCAGTGCTTATTGTTTTTGTTAATGTTTTATTAAAATATTGTGTAAATACTATTATTTTTTTAAAAGATGGAAAGTTCAGTTTTCTTCTCATTTTGGTAATATATTATTTTATCTTATAATTGTGTCAATTTTGTCAACGTCTGAAAATCTTGTTTTCTGAAATTATAGTTATAATTTTATAGAACATGCTTTCATATAATTAGTTGTAAATATTTGAGCGGTTAATGTTTGGAATTAATGAAGGATTATAAATAAATTAATATTATGTATATATTTATATATTGAGTATGTTAGAGATTGTATAAGATTTTGTGATCCATATTTTTTATTGAATAAAATTCAGATCTTTCGGAACAAACTTTCAGTTTATCATCAGTTGGTTGTAATACTTTGTAACATTTAAGGAACTATTTTTTATTTCGAGCATACCATTTACTACCAGCAACATTCCTAGTGTTTTAGAATCATTTATTTTATTTTTTAGATAAAAATTTATGCAGTATATTAAAAAAACGCCGACTCTAGCAAAATATATCTGCCTTTTTGTCTCCATGGCAATCTAACCAAGCTCCGCGGAATACCACCAACATAAATCGGGCATCGAATATATGCTAAAGTTGAAACGTTAACTTTATTTCTTCTCAACAAATCTCTCGTATATATTCATTGTAGTTTTACTTTTCATTAATTTGTATTATTTATCTTACAGAAAAACGTGTAAAGCATGCAAATGTCCACGAGAATCTCATGCCTTGTATCACGAAGAATGGGTTTCAGTCCGTGATAGGTTAGGATTTAAACCTAGCGGAGATCAAAATAACATTCAATTGAGAAGTAGCGCGCGGGAGCTAGGATACAGCTGGGTGCCTCCTGGTTTAACAAGAGAAAAGGTAAAATATTTTTAATAAAGTTCAATATAAATTCAATTTTATTGCCATTTGTTAATTTAAGTGAAGCAAAATTGTCTATATTATGATGAGATGATTATTAAGGTTGGGCGGGGCACAAAGATCTAATATGACTTCAAGTAATTCTACACTAAATCAAATGGACTACATCAAAACACAAAACGCATATCGAACTATGTTGAATAAAGTTCTTATTTAATTCCTTATAAATAGAAATATGTTTTTAACTATTTTTCTAAAATTAGTTATATTTCCCTTTTTACCCCATAGCCAGGAGACAAGCAGATTCAATGTCCTAATTTTAAATTTAAAGGGATTTTACGAAATAATAGCTATATTGCTCAATCAATGCAAAATATAAATTTCACGGCAATTTTTTTACAAATATAACACTTGATCAGCATTTTGTCAGAAATATTCATTAGCAAAGTTGGAATAACTATGAATATATTTTATCTCTTTTAAATTGCATTTTTAAACTTATTTTACTTCTTCATTTACTATTCTCTTATTGTTAACACCTTTGCAGGGTAAAGTTTTAGTTGGTCCTTTTTACCCCTTCCATACGTAAGCTACTTCACTATTATATTGATGTTTCGCAAACTAAACAATAGTGCTCACAACCAAAAAAAATAACAACAAAAGAAAATACTTTTGTTATAGATTTTCAAACATGGCCGTTTATCTCCTGATAGTGGCCTTACTTGATTTAAGGCGATTACACATTTTTTTCAGTAGAGCAAAATATGTGTATCTCTTTTTCTCTAGTTTCAAGTATTGTTGTTAAAAATCATAACTTTACTTGTTTTTGAGATATTGGTGGTGGACCTTTTTACCCACTGACCTTTAAGCCCCGCTCCACCCCATATGTAATTCAATTTGCTTATTTTTTTTAATCTAATTCAGTTATTATTACAAGATAAAAACTAAGATCAATTTGTATCACTTATTGTGCCAAAAAAATTCATATTATGAATTTGGAAATTTTGAACTTTATATTCTAAGATATCGACGAAACAGATAAAAGTAATTTTTGTGTATTATATTTGTGTATAAAATGTAATCAAATTTGGAGTTAATACAATTCTATTATAAATATGTTTGTGCAGGTTGATGTTTATTTCAAACAATTGCCGACTGAGAATATTCCTCTGCTTGACTCAGTGGGAGAACGCAACCGGGACAAAGAACTTTCCAGGCAACTACCGAAGCAAGATTTGGCATTTTCGTACTGTAAACATGTAGAACCTCAACATCGGGTTAGCTACGAGGATTTTATAGCGGCAAGAAATGAAATTGCATTAGACATAGGTTTGATATTTATTTAAATTATCGATTTTATTATAAGAAAAGGAATGACATATTTTACTTGATTTATACTACGCCGAGTAAAGTTTACCTATATTTTTTTTTATTCTATTTATTCTTTCAATTTATGTAAATTGAAATAACTAAATAGTGATGCGATGAAAAAATCTAATTTGATCAAAATTCAAATCGATCGTATTTTATAAATAATCGCCCTTCACTTTTTTCCTATAGTTCCTGCTCATATGGATACTGTGTTAGAATGCAAGTGTCTGACAATGAGTGCTTACAAGTGATCGCTATACAACGCTAACTTACAATTCATCATTATCATATATAAACAAGCTGTTAATCAATCAAGCTGTTAATTATTTTTTGTTTCAGTTTGCACCGCTCCATGCGCTTTTTTACCATAGACTTATTGACTATAGGCCTTTACATTATATCATGCCTCAAATTTGAAGTTCTGCAATTATTATTTGTTTGATTGATATATAGTGACTTTACTCGTGATTATATAATGATTGACAATTTTAATGATAGTGCATCAAGTTTAACCCTTTCGGGACGACATTCAAAAGATCCGTTTGTGTAATATTTTTAATATGTGATATATGTTAAAATAATTTTAATTATTAGGGGGGCGGCTGGTGAGGCTGGTTAACCATTGTACCGTCTGTACTTTTTGTTGGTCCACATTTGGACCAGCCGTTCTATAAAGACAGTAAAAAAACGTATGTGTACCACAAATCTAATTTAGTAATAAGTACAAAATGTGTGAAACATAGTTATATTTGCTGGAGCTTTTTTGTCCACTGTAATAACTTATAATCGCCGAAAAACATAAGTAGTTTATATATTTCATTGAAAATAGTGTAATTTTAGCAATGCGGTCTGGGCGGACAAAAAACAAAACGCGACAGGTTCTAAACTAAATACTGTTTTATGGGCCATATCTGTTTTTTATCACAGCTAAACACTTACATTACGTCGTTGCATAAATTGCATTGCTTTTATACATAAATTTACCTGACTAGAAATTTTCAAACTTGGTGGTACACGCGTACCGAAAGGGTTAAGTGGTTTACTGTCTGTTTATGATGGCTACTTTCCATTTGAAGACGAAAAATGCTTTCTATGCGGCAACTTTCGTTAAGATGAAAATGGAAAAAATATTTTTGTCTTTTATGTAGCCGCCAGATTTATGACTTACTGTTAGAAGGATATTTAAATATGTAATGATATTATTAGGACATTCATACATTTAATACTGTGCTTGATTCTTTAAATGCGTGACGCTCAAAGACTCTATAAATACGAGGTGTATTCAAAAAGTACCCGGAATTTTTAAATTTCGCGGGTCTGGAGTGTCTGATTGTCAAAATTTTTTTTTTATTGTGTTGGTATACATGCCCCTAAAGTATGATGAAATTTTCAGCTATATTCACTGTTTACTTTGTCTGTGGTAGTCGCTAAGGTTCGACGTGTTTTTCTGAGCTCGGCGATTTTTACAATGGAAGAATTGAAAAGTCAAAGAATTTGTATTAAATTTTGCGTAAAAAATGAAATAAAGTGTAACAAAGTGTGTGAAATGTTACAAAAAGCCTATGGTGAGTCTGCTATGAAAAAAACAAGTGTTTACGAGTGGTATAAGCGTTTCCAAGATGGCCGCGAAGACGTTGAAGATGACGAACGCTCCGGTCGACCCAGCACGTCAACAAACGATGAAAATGTGAAAGAAGTGGAAAAAATGGTTATGAATGATCGCCGAATCACAATTAGAGAAGTTGCTGATGAAGTTGGCATATCAATTGGCTCATGTCATAACATTTTTTCAAATGTTTTGGGCATGAAACGAGTGGCAGCAAAATTCATTCCAAAACTGCTAAATTTTGACCAAAAAAGCAATCGCATGAACATCGCTCAAGAGCTGTTAAATGACGTCAACAACGATCCAAGTTTGATTGAAAGGGTCATAACTGGTGATGAAACATGGGTGTACGGTTATGATGTCGAAACCAAAGCCCAATCGTCCCAATGGAAGAGCCCAGGTGAGCCAAGACCGAAAAAAGCACGTCAAGTTCGATCGAATGTCAAGGTTTTGCTTACTGTTTTCTTTGATTATAACGGCATAGTGCATCAAGAGTTCTTACCACAAGGTCGTACGGTTAATAAGGAGTATTACCTTGAAGTGATGCGACGTTTGCGTGAAGCAATCCGAAAAAAACGCTCCGATTTATGGAAAAACAATTCATGGCTGTTGCACCACGATAACGCACCTGCTCACTCGTCGTTGCTTGTTCATAATTTTTTGGCCAAAAACAATACCGTAGTCATGCCCCAACCTCCATATTCACCAGATATGGCTCCGTGTGACTTTTTCCTATTCCCAAAGTTGAAGAGACCCATGAAAGGACGGCGGTTTTCCTCGATTGAAGAAATAAAGGCCGAATCGCTGAGAGTGCTCAAGGACATATCAAAAAGTGAATATCAAGGGTGCTTCGAAAATTGGAAAAAACGCTGGCATAAGTGTATTATATCTGGGGGGGACTACTTTGAAGGGGACCACATTAATGTAGACGAATAAATAAATATTTTTTTGAAAAAACGAAAATTCCGGGTACTTTTTGAACAGACCTCGTATTGCGAATTAATTTCAAAAATTTTTCCATTGATATTGTCAAACAACATTTATATATTTAACATTTTTACAGGACAAGTCCTTGAAACGACGCAAACCACCGACTGCAAAGGTTGTTCATCACCTATCGCGGCAAACTCGTTAGCCGTATCCGCGTCTAAACTAGGAATAAATACATTTTGGCATCCTAAATGTTTTACGTGTGTGGTTTGTCGTGTCCCGCTGGTTGATTTAACTTACTGCGCACGAGAAGGCGACGTTTACTGCGAAAGACACTACGCGGAAACTCTAAAACCCCGCTGTATAGGCTGTGATGAGGTAACTTTTAACTTGTTATTTATCACTGATTCATATGTCTTGTTGATAGGCAGATAATGAGAAAATTCGTTTACCAAAGAGTTAAATTTATGTACATATACAGTAAAACCTCCGTTAACACGGCACTCTGGGTACACGGTTCCCATACTACGCGAAGCTAAAAATCCGACATCCCTCCGACTACACGGACTTCCTATTACACGGTTTTTGTTCAACAGCCCATAAGTTTCTTATGCAACCTATGAGTGATTCTAGTAACTTGATATCAAAAGGGTATTAATGTAAGTTTTGTTATCAACTTTTATCTTTTGAACATGCCTGATTATTTAATAGCTGTTTAAGAACACGTTTGAACTGACTAATGCGTCGCGCCAATTTTTGAATGAGTTGTCTATGGCATACATGTCATTTCGTTCATATTACTCCTACTTTAAGTTGTATTTCTTGGTCTCCAAACAGCACGATAAAAATGGTGCGATTTGTACTAACTCTGAGTCTCTCATAGCGCGGTTTCCATACTTCACTATACTAGTTTCCATAGAACGCACTACGAACTGACTACTACGAATTAGCCTGAATTGTATGATAAATACGAGTTTTTTATAGCAAGGTCCCCATACAGCACGGTACGCACTTGCCGCGTTAACGGAGAGTTGACTGTATATGTTATATGCCAAAATCTTTTTGTTCTTATTTGAAGATTTTGTTCATATATTGCTGCAACATTAAAATGTAAGTTAACTTTAATGTTCCAATATTTTTTTTTGCATACTTTTATTGTCAATCAAAATAAAATGATGTTCCAATATATGTTTAAAATCTTCAAACATGAACAAAAACATTTTTTGAAAATACTTATTATTTTTTTTATTATCATCAGTGGATATTGGATTATTCACTACAGCCACAGACACTGTCTCAGAGTTGTCGAATATATTTGTTTTTTTTTTTTCAAAAAATGTGTGCATTATAACATAGCATTGATATTTAAACATAGCAATTTACAATCTCAGAGAAGTTGAATGATACATGTTGTTGCTAATTGTCTTTGTAGTGTATATGCAAAAATCTGATTCATCAATCTTCATAGAAACATGATTCATAGAAATATGATTCCATTTTTTTTTCTAAAATTAAAAGAGTGAATCAAATAAAAAACATCTGTAAGGATAAAAGTGTGAGATTATAATTGAGAAACAAAAATATCAGTTCAAAATATCAATTCAATACACATTCATGTTTATTTAATTTCCCTGAAAAATGCCCGGGAACTACTGGGTTGTTCGGAAAGTAACTTCCTTTTTTATAGACATTTTTGCACGTTTGCGCAATAAACAATTACTTTAATAAATTATGTATTGGCACTTTTGATCGAACATCTTTTGTCTTATTTCTGGTATTAGCATAATTCCGAAATCATAAATGTTTTGGTCGTTATTGGAAAAAAAAACTGATCAAAGGTTTTTTTGACAGGCTAATTTGAGGTAAAGATTTCACCGCCTAAAAATTTTTTTCGGAACAAATAATGATCCGATGATGGCAGGTCTGGAGAATATGATGAATGTGTCATTGGGTTTCATTCAAGCTTCAAAAGCTTCTGGCGATTGACCAAACTCTTGTGAGGTCTTGCGTCGTCTTGATGCAGGACTATACCTCGTTGTGGGTTAATTTTGACTTTTTTTATAACTATATCATTTAGTTTATCCAGCTGATGACATAAAGCATTCAAATTAATCGTTATGTTATCCTGGAAAAGCTGAAAAATGAACAATTCCTTTAAAATCTTACCAAACATACTGCATCACCTTTTTCTGGCAAGTTTCAGCTTCGCACTTGTTTTGAGCAGGTTTTTTTTTTGTTTCAAGGATAAATGCGTGTATTGTTATTCTCATTTGAAATTCCTAGTAACAATTCGCTTCAAAACCTGATAATTTTCAAGACTTTTGAGTGGCGAATCCCGGACGCCAGTGCGACGGCACACGTTTCTATTTATGAGAACCATACATTGAGTTTTGAAGAAAATCCCAGACTTTTGGAATGGTCATAAACTGTTAAATTTGATAAATATTTACTCAATTTACTCAATCAACTAATGCTTTTCTCGCTTCTAGCTTCAACCGTAATGCTTGCTTTTCTAGCTTCAACCTTACTTCTTGGACTTGATGCATCTTGGACATCAAAATACCTGGAATGAAATTTAGCAAATCAATTTTGGCACTGTCGTATTATCAACACGTCATTTCCGTACAAATCGATCAATTTCATTTTGACTTAAACAGCTTTTTTTACCTTTTCTATAGCAAAAGAGTAAAATGTGTCGAAAATGCTGCTTAATTATTTTTGCATTCAAAGTGGCACCATCCAAAAACTACTGCACACAAGCCTTAAAATATAAGTTTTGAAATCATATAATAACTATAGGGCTTAAGTGTGATGTGTTAGGTACAAAAAATTATAGTTAAGTTCTGGTGGCAAAAAAACGAAGTGACTTTCCAAGCAACCTCATAGTTTAGGTGGAACAAATTCGACCCATCCGATAAGTGTTAACCAAGCGTTGATTCCATCAGTATATTTCAGTATTCTGTTTAATGCCTTATGTGGCTAAAACCAAACTGATGTATAGACCAATTTGGTAAAGCATCATATCATCGTTATTATCTACTTATGATGCATTAACGTTAGCGTTTTCTACATATATTAACACTGCTTTTACGGACATAATTGCAAATGTATGCTTTTTACAAAGCTCCGGAACTGAGCATTATCAGCGGTGTTGTGCTATTTTTCCGAAACTAAAAAAATAATATATATATATATATATATATATATATATATATATATATATAAAGCGAGAGGTTTTTCTTCAGATGGTGAAATAATATAATAAAATTGTTTCTTGGGCATCCATCCAGTAATTAAAAAACAGTTTTAATGAAAAATGTTTTATTTATAGAGAACATACGTTTCGGGTCTGGATTTGACCCATCTTCAGTGCTACAATTAAATAATTCAGGGTTACAAATTAAAACAATATAAAAAAATACATAATTAACAGACAAAAATAAGTAAAACAATGTATATGAAAAGTATATATGAAAAACAACCATAAAATAAACAATGTAAAGAAACTCACCATACAAATAAACTTTGAAAAACAACACAAAAACACAAAATTGCACGAAAAATAAATAAAAGTGAAATAAAAAATTGATGAAACGTCGAGTTATGAAAAATTTTAAAAAATTTAAAAAAAAAAATTGTAAAATTAAAATGAATGATATATTTTATTATAAAAAAGCTTATTCCAAACGAACATGTTGTTAGTTTGGAAGTTGTATTACGAGTGTGTACGAGAGTAAAATGTGTGCGAACGTGTTTGCGGAAAATACTGGAAACTGTATCGTCATTGGTGAGAGAACGGGATAGAGAGAATTTTGGTGGTTCCATATTACGAAGATTAATTGAATTATTTAATTGTAGCACTGAAGATGGGTCAAATCCAGACCCGAAACGTATGTTCTCTATAAATAAAAACATTTTTCATTAAAACTGTTTTTTAATTACTGGATGGATGCCCAAGAAACAATTTTATTATATATATATATATATATATATATATATATATATATATATATACATACATACATACATACATACAGTGCCAATCCTGAACGGAACGACGTTATACCTTGCTCAGAAGAGACATTTATGGAATTGTTAATGTCTATCTGTATTGCTGATGGTTTTAATGCATAATTTTACGCGATTATCGAAATTTTTGTGACAATCGTATCGTTGATGGAAATTTGAGATTGTCGGTGCATGTTTTATTTACTGTGCTGGTTACTGAGCGCACGAACTATAAATCATGTTTGCTGTAACAATATTAAATTGCAATTGATTAATACGCGAATTATCGTTTTTTTTCGGAAGTTGTAAGAGAATTTAGGGATGTATGTCTGTTTTAATTTCACGTCAGCGAGTAGTAATAATGCCATTTATAATAAATATTATTAAATATTATTCAGGCTCTTTCTGAGCTTATTCTTTATAAGTAACCAAAGAAAAATTATTTTATAGTATATTTAGTAGCTGCTTCTTAAATAAATATTCCTCTGAAAAAAAAGTAAATATAGATACAAGACATTGATTTGAACTTGTAAAAATACTTATGATTACTAGATTGCTTATGATATTGATATAAAACGAGCAATGATGATTAATAAAAAAGAACGCGTTTTTACAAAAGATAAAATTGTCAGAAAACATAAAGAAATTCAGAAACATAGAAATCGAATTCAGAAAATCCTACTTACGGTATCATAAAAGACAGATTCTTTAAAAAAATAACTAGAAGCATGGAATATAATTTAGTTTCGGACACTGAATGGAATTGTTTTCGAATGTTGAATACCTTAATTGTCGATCGTATTGAAAGAACTAACTAAATTAAATATTCGTTCCTGGATAAGTTTGTGCCGGGTGTTGGTAGTTGGAGAAAGTCGAAGCTATATTAAAATGTTTTGAATTATTTTTTAATAAAAGATAATGCAACCTACAGAAAAATTGTTTGGGCAGTTAGAATATTATATTATAGGATATTGTGAAAAATGCTTTAGCAGTATTTACTTGGCAAACAGAAAATGATAAAAAAATTAAAGAAGCTTTACTTCCCGTAGAAAAAGATCGAAGTTAATTTAGGTGGTAATTGAAGTAACTAAAAGTGAATATATTAAATGTGATTAGATTACACGATTCTTATCCATGCTAATGATGAACAACCTACACCTACATCTTCATAATCACGTAATGGATTGAGAGACCAACATTTAAAGTAAAAACTCCTAAAATATAGACTGTTCGTGAATTGTATAAAAAAAAGTCGAAAAGAAAACCTGACTCCCTGGTTTTGGCGGTAACAAATTTTCTGGTGAACAAAAAAATAAGTAACTTAATTGAGCTTAATTGATTCGAATGTATGCTATTCAATTTAAAAGATC